GTTGTTCGGAGTTCCCGAAACGTGCGTGCGGGACCGGCGGAAACAAAAGCAGAAGATTGTCGACAGCAAAGCTTCACGCAAAGGCTTCAGTGGACCACAGCAGGGTCGGTTTCCGCAAATTAAAGAGCTGCTCGGCGAGTATGTGCTTGAGCAGCGAGCGGCCCGTGACGACAGAACTGCTCCAAGTGCGGGCTATGCAATTAGTCTTAGAAAAAGGTCTAATGCGGAGCCAGTTTAAAGCGAGCAGGTGCTGGCTAACTAACTTTATGAAGAGGAAAGGCCTTTCCCTCCGAAGGGGAACATGCATATGCGAAAAGTTTTGCGGAGGAGTACGATGAAAAGCTTCACAGTTTTCAGAGGTTCGTCCTAAACTTGCGGCGCAACAACGGCTACCTGCTTGGGCAAATCGGGAATGCCGATCAGACGCCTCTTTACTTCGACATGCCTGGCACCACAACCGTCGAGAAGAAGGGGGCGAAGCAAGTTTGCGTGCTGACATCGGTCCACGGTAAAACTACAGTGACGGCAATGCTCTGTTACACGTCAGATGGGCACAAGCTTCGCCCGTACCTCATATTTAAATAGAAGACGCTCCCGAAAGGAGTCGTTTTTTCGAGTGGTGTGATCGTGCGGGCCAGCGAGAAAAATGGGTGCGCGTTGAAATCGGTGTCTTACGTTTTTTTTTTGTTTTTTTTTTGCGGTGGAAATCGGGTGCGCGTTACAATCGAGGGCGCGGTAGAATCGAGTAAATACGGTACTCATCATATTTTTTTTCCTTGATCACGCCGACTTACTTTCAGTATGATTGCAAGAACGCTAGTGTCGCTACTGCGAAACTCTAGCACATTACACAGTGCGGCACCTGCCCGTGGCAGCACCCCATAGCAGCAACGGTAACTGTGCAGCACAAGAACATTCAAACCAGCCATTGGCTGAGCCCTACTCTTCTTTGGAGTAATCAGGCCCGTCTATGACATTTCCCGAGAGAAGAGACAGCATTTTCCAGCTGTCTTTTGAATGTGATTGTAAATTCCCTGCCATGTGCTATGCAATATTTGACTGAAATATTCACAGGAGCCATGACTACCGAACAGCAGCCTTTTTTGGCCATGTTCAAAAAGTGTTGCAGGGCCCCTTTGAGAATCTTTTAAGCAAGCACTGCGTCATGGCTTTTTCTATAGTATCACAAGGTTATTACGAAAGGTTATAAAGTTTAAAAAGGACTTGGCACTCACTTGGTAAGTCTTCCTAATGTTAATAGTCATGTAGTAGTGGTAAAACTACCACATATTTTATTACAGTACTGGTCATAATTGCACCAACCAATAAACTCTCAACAAATGTTCAATGTATGCATACAAATTAAGTCAACAGACTGCACTAAAGAGGCAACAAGTGAAGCATGCCGACAGCACTTAGCAGTAGCTAGAAAGTTTGGTTTGCACAAACACACAACGCACGTCACAGGCTGAGAATGTCCGGTTGGGATGACAACATATGCTCTTAATTTCTAGTCAGCAAACACAAGATGTCCTGTCTGTGTTACTGATCAAGCTAACACAGCAGCCAAGTAAGCCACAAGTCTGATTCACATTACTCCACAGTCACAGAGTTACACTTGGTCAATGCAGCCAACTAAGCCAAAAGTCTGATTCACATTACTCCACAGTCACAGAGTCACACTTGGTAATGGACCACACTAGGTGGATTCCTTCTCTACCCTCTAGTACACATGGATCATCAAACTAACGACTCATCATCTGTTTTCATTAATAAATTGTCCAGAAAAAGTTCCCAACTTCAACCCTCAAATAGAATTTTCGCCCTTACAAGGAAATGCCTTAATGCACATTCGCAAATTTCTGCGAATGTGCATTTTCTTAAGGCACACAAGCTCCTTTCCAAGCTGCCAGAGGAAGAAGTTTTTGAAAAGAAAAAAAAAAACAAGTTCATTTTGTACATGAACGGGAAAAATCTTTTTTCTAGAAAAAGAATATTATGCAGCACTGAAATGCATGCCACAGCAGGTTATGTTAACTTGAGACAAAATTTAAACAGAGTGCTCACTGCTTCCATTAGCAGTCTGACAACTTCCAAGTTCTCCGTACTTGAGCTTGGGAATTTCACTGGGTGAATGCTGCAGATTAGCAAAGGAGCTGCTATCAGAATTCAAGAAGAGACATGTTTGCAAAGTGTCCCTAAACTCTGATCCAGTTTGTTCAGGCAATGCGGTGCAGTACTGGGCAGAACTCAGGCTCGACTGGTGGCTCTGAGCCCCAATGCCACTATGTGACAACCCAGAAATCTGACCAGCTACTCCATCTGGACCTGCAGGATGAGCCACATCTGTAACAGCTCGCACAGGAACGTCTTTTATAAGATCGTCACTCGATTCTACAGAAGGCCAAAGCCAGTCTATACCACTGAGCTCTGCCTGCTTGGGAGAAGGCTCTTTATTTAGCCTCCCTGTACTGCCATCAGAACACGGCCAGGTCATAGACTGTGCTGGCTCATGAAGGCCCCTTCGTTCAAAAGAGGAGAGATCCTGTGCAGTTTGATCACTGTCATAGACTGTGCGCAATGATAAATCAGGCACAGCCTGCGGACTGTCTATATATTTAAGATCATTACCTGAATGACTAGGAGGCATAATAATGTCTGGTAATCTTGATGTGGGATAGGGAAGCTCACAATCAGCTAAATTTCTTGCTTTAACATTTGATGATGAGCCTTGTGGGCTTACACTATGCAAATTGAGATGTTCAGGGCCTGGCTCAGGACTATGCAATCTTTCATATCCAGAGTCAATCAAACAAGGTTCGCTACTGTTATGTTGCCTCAAAGTTTCCGGCTGGTCAACTCTTTCAGGATGTGTCGAGGCTGACTTCTCTGTAGACACTGTGCCAACAATAACTCGAGGAGTGGGTGCACTTTGATTTTTACGTTCTCTTGTAATTAAGCGTGGATGAGTGTGTCCTATAATCTTAACTCTTGTATTATATTCCGTTTCAACAGTCTCACCACTATTTGGATCAGTATCAACACCAACATTAGTTCCTTGTCTTAATGTCTGCAAACCATAGAAGTTTCTGTTACGGCATGTAACTAAAGAATTTGATTGAATAGTAGGCGTCTCTTGTTCCCCCACTGGACTCTCACTATTTTGCAAACTGGAAGCATCAACCACACTTGCTACTGTGTATGTGTGCTCATCCAATACATGGACAGGTGGCATTTCTTCAGATGATGTGTCACATGTCAAAGAGTTAGTGTAGTTGCTTCCAAGACCGGATGAAATGTTACTAGAAATGCGTCTGTGTCAATGCCACAGGTCGTTGCACCTCGCCCAGCACAGATTCCCTCTGAAGCTTCTGCACCAATTTTCGGCTCAGTTTCACGTCCAGAGTCAATCAAACAAGGTCCACTACTGTTATGTTGCTTCAAAGTTTCCTGCTGGTCAACTCTTTCAGGATGTGCCGAGGCTGACTTCTCTGTAGACACTGTGCCAACAATAACTTGAGGAGTGGGTGCAGTTTGATTTTTACGCCCCCTTGTAATCATGCGTGGATGAGTGTGTCCTATAATATTAACTCTTGTATTATGCTCCGTTTCAACAGTCTCACCATTTGTAACAGTATTAACACCAATATTAGTTCCTTGTCTTAATGTCTGCAGACCATAGAAGTTTCTGTTACGGCATGTAATCAAAGAATTTGAGTGAATAGTAGGTGTCTCTCGTTCCCTCACTGGACTCTCACTATTTTGCAAATTGGAAGCATCAACCTCATTTGCCACTGTGTATGTGTTCTCATCCAATATATGAACAGGTGGCATTTCTTCAGATGATGTATCACATGTCAAAGAGTTAGTGTAGTTGTTTCCAAGACCGGGATAAAATGTTACTAGAAATGCGTCTGTGTCAATGCCACAGGTCGTTGCACCTCGCCCAGCACAGATTCCCTCTGAAGCTTCTGCACCAATTTTCGGCTCAGTTTCACGTCCAGAGTCAATCAAACAAGGTCCACTACTGTTATGTTGCTCCAAAGTTTCCTGCTGGTCAACTCTTTCAGGATGTGCCGAGGCTGACTTCTCTGTAGACACTGTGCCAACAGTAACTTGAGGAGTGGGTGCAGTTTGATTTTTACGCCCCCTTGTAATCATGCGTGGATGAGTGGGTTCTATAATATTAACTCTTGTATTATGCTCCGTTTCAACAGTCTCACCATTTGTAACAGTATTAACACCAATATTAGTTCCTTGTCTTAATGTCTGCAGACCATAGAAGTTTCTGTTACAGCGTGTAATCAAAGAATTTGAGCGAATAGTAGGTGTCTCTCGTTCCCTCACTGGACTCTCACTATTTTGCAAATTGGAAGCATCAACCTCATTTGCTGCTACTGTGTATGTGCGCTCATCCAATACAAGACCAGGAAGCATTTCTTCAGATGATGTGTCACATGTCAAAGAGTTAGTGTAGTTGCTTCCGAGACCGGGATGCAATGTCACTACAAATGTGTCTGTGTCAATGCCACAGGTCGTTGCACCTCGCCCAGCACTGATTCCGTCTGAAGCTCCTGCACCAATTTTCGGCTCTGTGCCATCATGCACATCAACCGGCTTTTGTGAAGCACCTTTGCCTGCATCTACAGCCAGTACAACCTCTTTCGACTCTCTGGGTGCGGCTTCAGCCAGTGAATTTATCTCAACACGTCTTACATCTTCCCCAATTTTTTTTGTTAAGGACACAAGCTCTCTGTCGTTTGTGCTCATTGAAGGAACATCCGAAGAAACTACAGCGTTCAGTTGTGGATTCTCACTGGCTGCACTCTCCTTCGCTGCAACCTCGGAGCACTTGCATGTGTTGAAGCCCGGAGAACCCAGGAGTGGGCCAGTAATGCATGCTTGGGTGCAAGTGCGTGCACTCAGCAGCAGCTCTCGGTAGCAGTGGTGGTGGTGGCAAGTTGAGTCAGTTAGGGGGCACTTGCAAATTGTCAACGCACCTGATGGTCCATTGCCTCCTGGAATACCGCCAGAGTCCTCGGCAGCAGGTGAGGTCATTTTGGGAGCCTCCCGGCTACCAAAGGTAATTTCATGCTGTCGGTAGAGCCTGTGATGCTGCAACTGAGACACCCACTGCTGGAACTGCGCTTGGTTTTTCACCTGCATAGCCAGGCAGAGCCTGTCAACTTTAATATGCAACACTGAAACTTCTACCCCTGTTATTCATTGTTAGTCACGATTACCAAAAGTGGTACAATACCTTGAAAGAAACAAGGAAGTTTGCTAAAATAGAGGTGTATTAAGTGTTTGAGTTACTAAACAAGAGCTGTGATCCAGAAAGAACAATGCTAAAATGTCCTGTCTCAAAAAAGTTCAAGCACCTCTTATGGACCTGCAACCTCAAGAAACTACCTCGTACTTTACATCTGCAACCTTGCATTAACTATATATCGAACTGAACCAGCAATTGAACGTTGCAGGTTTAGTACTTGCCTGCGGCAGGTTGTTCTCCACATATATATTCTTCACATTTATATACAAATTCTTCACACCTTTATCACAATTACTACGATACACTTAAACAGGACAAATAATGTCTTCTATACTTTCCTTGGCTTCATTATCAGCTGAATTTCATTAAAATGTACTGTCAAACAAAGTCCCTCAGAATTCTCTTCCTTCATTTAACAACTTTTAGGTTTTATACAAGCAATATAAACAATGTATAATTTCAGTTGTGAGCCTTTCTGTTGGGCTCTTATAGAATACTTTAAACTTATAGAGCTCATTTTCCCGGAAATAAGAAGTTCTTTCTCCTAGGAGAATCATCTCGACTACACGAGTAACAAGTAAACCACAGAACACTACCATGCAGTCATGAGAATTATTAAGAAAAAAGCACCAAATACAGCAGCATTTTTTTGCTAATTGTAAGAAAGACAAATAACCCCAAAATTTACTTTAAGAAGTTACATTCGCAGCTGCCTAAAGAATTGATGACATGGTACCACTATGCTAACCATACATGCCAAGTTCAAGGATTCTGAATCCGTGAGATTTCCCCCCCTTTTTTGTTACAAAAAAAAATGCGAGAAATCTGAGGAGGGAGAGGGTACCCAATCACAAGTGCAAACATCAGCGTTGGGGTCTTATAAAGGCTTGGAGTGGCCAAACACACGAGGGTAGGGTTTCCCAATAAGGTAAGAGTCTCAAAGCGAGAGTGCAAACACTCCCAAAATTTGGCATTGTGAAAACAACTAGCAAAATCTACTTCCATCAAAACAACTCTCCTATGTCTTCCAGGGACACGTGAACGCACGGGACGGCGCAGCTATCTGCCGCAAAAGCGTGGGTCAAAGTTTTGCTCGCTACTACTTCAGACATGAACGCCACAATGCTTCTAGCTTTTTTTAATGTATTTGCTGCCTTTATTCTACCACTGTGTTGGCTGTGTGCCCTCGGGGCTCACGAATCGCTATCGCGTCGCTGCGACCGTGCTTTTGCGTGCGGCGGTTGTAACAAACGATAGTTCCGTTTTCAAAACTAATTCATTTTATGCTACCTATGACCACATCTACCACGGTTTTGTGCACAGAATTTGCGAAAGTAGCGTTGCTTTGACTGGCCGAGCGTTGGACGTACGCACACTTTCGGAGTGTCGTCAGTTACGTCATCGCCATACATTACCGTGTCAAGAACGACCGCGGTTTCATCCATAGTGGTTGTGGCAAGGACAACCACATGCACTGTAGAAGACAGTGCGTGCGCTGGTCACACGCATACTTCTGAAGCTCGTAGCTCTCAGCCTTCGTTCGACGATTTCAGTACTAAAGTTCATATCACTCACCGCGATTAGGAAAAGTGTTCGAAACATTCGAACTTTGGCACAATGAATAGAGTAGAATTTGGCTGGGAAATTTCCCGAATTCATATCTGCCACGGTTTCTTATTACTGAGATTCGACTGTACGTTCATATGAACGTGTCCTAAATTCGTTTATAATAAAATGCGGTGGGTTTGCAAAAAGCCTGGAGCGGATTGACCTGCATTTTTGTTAATGCAGCCAAATCATATACAGAAATTTCGATTTCCAGGAGATTTTCAAGACAACCATACAAACGGAAGAAACGGTTGAAATCTGGGAGTCTTGGCAGGTATGGCTAACACAACAGAAACACAATGAAATGACATGTTAGAAATTGCCAGACCTAAAGCATTAAGAAAATATTTGTAAATTGTAACAAAAACGTACCTTCAGATGATAAATAAATTCCTCAGCATCGATGTCAATCCGCCGCCCTTTGCCTTTGGTGGAAATCACAGAGAGCCCAAGATCAACCGACCCATGATTTTTTCCCTTTGCCATCTGAAATTTGAAGAGACTAATTATTAGCCCTCTATGACAGTGCACCTAATCTGAATACGCTGGCATTCAAAAAAGAAATAACTTGCTGATACATGGTGTACAAGAAAACACTGACGAAATTAATCAGCAGCTTGAGACATGCGTTAAAGAATAAATTCTAATTAACATACTCAAGGTCAATAATGTTATGAAGAAAGAATCCATATGATAGGCAAACCTAGTAAAAAGCCGAGGCCAATCATTTTGAAAATGTTTGATTCCCGCGACAAAGCCAGAGAGTCTTGAAAAACTGTTTTAAGCTAAAGGGCACAAATTATGGAATAGGCAAAGACTTCTCAGCTTGCGGACGTCACATCAGAAGAAAACTTTGGCACTTTGCTAAGGAGCATAGGGCATCTGGAGCAAGGTATCTGTGGTTGTTGACAAATTGCGATTAAATGGGGAGCTTTACCACTGGGACGATGCTAAAAATGATCATCATCATCATCATCATCAGCCTGATACGTCCACTGCAGGACAAAGGCCTCTCCCATGTTCCGCCAGTCAACTCGGTCCTGTGCTTGCTGCTGGCAATTTATACCCCCAAACTTCTTAATCTCATCTCCCCACCTAACCTTCTGTCTCCCCCTAACCCGCTTGCCTTCTCTAGGAATCCAGTTAGTTACCTTTAATGACTAGCAGTTATCCTGTCTACGTGCTACGTGCCCGGCCCATGTCCATTTCCTCTTCTTGATTTCAACTATGATATCCTTAACCCCGGTTTGTTCCCTAATCCACTCTGCTCTCTTCTTGTCTCTTAAGGTTACACCTACCATTTTCCTTTCCATTGCTCCCTGCGTCGTCCTCAATTTAAGCTGAACCCTCTTTGTAAGTCTCCAGGTTTCTGCTCCGTAGCTAAGTACCAGCAAGATGCAGCTGTTATATACCTTCCTTTTGTCGGATAGTGGCAATCTACCTGTCATGATTCGAGAGTGCTTGGCAAATGTGCTCCCCCCCATTCTTATTCTTCTAGTAACTTCAATCTCGTGGTTCGGCTCCACGGCTATTACCTGTCCTAAGTAGACATAGTCTTTTACAACTTCAAGTGCACTAGTTATTACCTATCTCGAAGCACTGTTCTCTTGCGAGGTTGTAGTACATTACTTTCGTTTTCTGCAGATTAATTTTAAGACCTACTTTCCTGCTCTCCTTGTCTAACTCCGTAATCATGAGTTGCAATTCATCCCCTAAGTTACTCAGCAATGCAATGTCATCGGCGAAGCGCAACTTACTAAGGTACTCTCCATTAACTCTTATGCCTAACTGTTCCCATTCTAGGCCTCTGAAAACCTCCTGTAAGCCCACGGTAAATAGCATTGGGGAGATTGTATCCCCCTGCCTTACACCCTTCTTGATTGGTATTCTGTTGCTTTCTTTATAAAGCTCTATAGTAGCAGTTGATCCCCTGTAGATTTCTTCCAGGATGCTTATATATACTTCATTGACGCCCTGATTCCGCGAGTGTCTGCATGACTGCTGATATTCCTACTGAATCAAATGCCTTCTCGTAATCTATGAAGGCTATGTGTAGTGGTTGGCTATATTCTGAGCATTTCTCTATTTACCTGATTGATAGTATGAATGTGGTCGATTGTTCAGTAGCCTGTTCGAAATCCTGATTGTTCCTTTGGTTGATTGAATTCTAACGTTACTTAATTCTGATAGCAATTACCTTTGCCAATAGCTTGTATACTACGGAGAGCAAGCTGTAATTCTTCAAGTCCTTGTGATCTCCTTTCTTATGTATTCGGATGATGCTAGCATTCTTCCAAGATTCTGGTACTCTTCCCGTCAGGAGACACCTCGTAAACAGCGTCGCTAGTTTTTCTAACACAATCTGCCCTCAATCTTTCAGCAGATCTGATGCTACCTGATCCTCACCTGCAGCTTTGCCTCTTTGCTAAACATGATGCAGTCCCTTAAAAGGACGAATCCACCTATCAGGTAAACCAACAAAACGCTACATCGAGGCATCGCCCACGACGGGAGAAATAAGCTTCAATGTAAATACTCATAGCATTGTCATCAAAATGGATGCTATTGAATCATTGCTTCGACGCAGAGATAAAGCGATGCCAGAGATAATGAGGTGTCACCCCTTAATTATGCGATAATTCGTAAAGATAGACTATCTCGTGGGGGAGGCGTAGCCGTTCTTATAAACAAGAAAATCAAGTTTCAGGTGCTCCCCGATATCGAAGGTGCAGAGGCAATTTTTCGCAAGCTCTTTCTGGGAGTATGCACTGTCATTGTAGGTTACGTCTATCCGAGCACTACTGCAGATATTGACGTCATGCGTCCAAGAGCAGGCTAATCTTGTTGGGCGATTTTAACATGCCTGATATAAACTGGCAAACAATGCATTTTCCCTTGGCTTCTTCCAAATTATCCTTGATACTATGTTTAATCTTTATTTTTCCCAAATAGTAACTCAACCTACGCGTACATGTGGGTCTTCATCTAACATTCTAGATTTAATTTATCTCAGTGATCACTTCCCATATGATCGAGTGAAAATTGACGTCACGGATAGTATAGGGGACCATAATCTAATCATTTGTAGTGCTATACCTATTCGTGACACCATATACTACCTAATACCCCTACTACTTATCAGGATTTCTGTAATGATGACGACACCAGCATCCTTGATCACCTCATTGACGAATTTCCTGCCTTTCTAGAAGTATCAAATAATGCAACCTCAGACATTGAACAACTATGGCATATTTTCAAAGAAATTGTATTTCACTGTTTAGAAAATTTTGTACCTACGAAAACAAAAAAGACAAGGAAAAAGAATGCATGGATTAATCGCGAAAGCATTAATGCTAAACGTAAGGTAAAATGCTTAAGGAAGACATGGAAATTTAATCCCAACAGCACATCTCATGAAGTCATTTTTACTGCCATTCGTAACATGAAAAGTCAAATAAAGGCATCTAAAGCAAACTACTTTAACAATATTCTTTCGAATTTCCTAAAAGCTTCCCCTCAGAAGTTTTTTAAGCCTATAAAACGAAGTGGGCACCCAGTTTCGTCTGAAGACAACCTCTGTAGAGCAAATCATTTTAATGAATATTTTCAATCAACTTTTACTGTGGATGATGGAAACCTTCCACATGTTAACCCATGCAACCGAACACGCTTAGAAACAGCTGTTGTTATCTGTTCAGACTATTACTCAATATCGACACTAAAAAGGGACTGGGGCCACACAATATACTTAATATACTCATAAAAAGATGTGCCGAATGATTAGCTAAATACCTGTGCTTAATTTTCAATAAATCATTATCAACCTGCAGATTACCACAAGACTTGAAAGTCGCAAAGATCATTCCAGTATACAAGTCTGGTGACAAAGCTGAAGTCTCTAATTACAGGCCTATCGCCCTAACCACCTCAGTGAGTAAACTCCTTGAACCATAGTGCTTTTAAAAGCATAACCACATACATTGAAGAAGAAAGCAACCTTTCACCTTATCAACACAGCTTCTGAAAAGGTGTATCCACTGTCACCCAACTTGTTGAGCTAATCCACGACATATCACTTAGCATCGATAACAAAAAACAAATGGACCTTCTTTTACTAGATTTTTCAGAAGCTTTCACTTCCCACAGTAAACTCATGACTAAAATTGCATCAACTCTGGGAAACGGACCCATCATCACCTGGATACAAGATTACCTTACCAAGCGTTTGCAGTTTGTAGAAATTCACCACCAGTCATCTACTCCCTCACGCATCCCATCTGGAGTACCTCAGGGATGTGTACTGGCTCCAGTTCTTTTCCCAATTTTTATCAATGTTCTACCATCTAACATAGTTGTTAAAATTAGATTGTTTGCTGACGATTGTATTTTATCAAGAAATTAACTCTTTTGAGGATCACATAACATTAAATGAAGCCCTACACTCAGTTTCTGAATGATGTACTGAGTTGCAAATGACCCGTAAAGTTAATAAATCCACTGCCCTAACAATTACCAGAAAAAACACATGTCTGAGTTCGCAAATACTGCAAATAACATACAGCTAGCTCGAATTCAAGAACACAAATACCTCAGTTTATTACTTACACACGATGTTAGATGGGACCCCCACATTAACACCATCACATCAACTGCCTTAAGGGGAGACGCTCCTCGAAAAAGTTTTTTTTTTATTTCTAGTAATAGAGACGTGAAAAGTTTGTTATTAGTATAGTTTTTCATGCAGATTTCAAATATGCAATCATTTTTTGTGTAGCTGCTATAATTATTGAGTTAAGCCATAAACAATAGCAAAAAGTTACATTTTTTGCGGGCACTCTTTTATGTACTAAACTTTCAGTAAAAGCACTGAGTCTGATCTTATTTGACTCTTGGTAGATTGAAAAGTGCAAATATCTATATAGATATGTCACAGAAATATTGGAACCAACAAAAAAAAAATTGTATTGAACGACTTATTATTTTCAATCTCCCTTGAAACAATAAGCTAATATTTTCACAACTAATGCTGGTAGGCATTGCAATTTAGAGTAGATATTTGCATTCTGCATGTGTTGAAGAATATGTGTGCCAAGTTTCGTTACTATACAATGAATAGAAGTTTCTAAAAGGCTGCCCGGAAAACGTGAAACTGTCAGAAAAAATGAAAATGAGAAAAACAAGTTTGAAAGTTCGCAAAGTTGGCATTTATTAGGAAATCATTCTTTTTGCATCAAATTGGGGCACAATGAAAAGTACCTTGCCTTGAATGCACTGCAAGTGTCTAGAAGTCCCCTGCACCATAGCTTGGTCCTTCACGGCTCTTGCGGTCAGTGTCCTCAACACGAGCTCTCTTCGCTGTGTTGCGACGGTGTGCCCTCGCTTCTGCAGTTTGCTTCAGGTTCATCTTCCTGATGCGCATGACGTCACAGTGGTCACCATGTGTGGCTAGATCTTGTGAGGGGAGAATTCCAATGCCTTCGAGCACTTCTTCAAAGCCTGTGTGGCCTTTGTTGTACCAGAGTACAGCAAGAGCGGTGGCTGTCTCCACAGTTGTTCTGGAGGCGAACTTTGTTTTTGGACATAGCAGCCATATCTTGCTGTTCAGCGATTCGGCTGCATTCTGCGTCTTGCCATGAAGGCACCGAATAAGGAGTTTCTCCTTTGTAAGGCGCTTGTAGATAGGCATAATTGCCAATCCTTGAGCCTTCGTCAACAGTGGGGTGTGGCGTGGTGCAGGCTCCCCCAGTGCTTCCGCACGCTTGTGCTTGCACCACGAATTTGGTCCCGCGGGGCAAAAGTTGTGGCTACTGGCACCATCACTGGAGCAGCAATGAAAATACGATGCCCATATGGCAGTGTACATATTTCGGACACTGTCCTTGTTGCTCGTGATGGCGATCTTGTAATATGTTTGTAGTTTTATTATTGTCGCATCTTTCAGTTTTTCGCCTCGTGGCAGTGGCGTTGCCAATTTCCGTAGGGCAGTTCCCAAGCGCTTTGCAACGTGGTTCGTGCACTCTTCTTTGTCAATGGGGGTGTCACAGTATACATTTGCCTCGCAGACTGCAGTGTAGGCCTTGCTGTCACCATCACTTAGGAAGCTGGTGAATCGCAGTGGAGTTTCATAAGACAAGGTCCTCTGCCATATATTGACAGCTGCCGCAGGTTCCATTGCATGGGATGAGCAGTCAGTGTTTTTTTGGCAAACTGGAAGATGAAAAGCTCGCCATATCTCTTCATCCTCCCCAAGGTCCCTGTGTATACTGCAAGCATGGCAGTAGTTCGAAAGAACTTCAAAATCGAGGCAGAGCCCCGTGTCCAGGGACACGACTGTGCCCACTCCATTGTGGCTTTTATGACCTCTTTTCTGCCAGGTGCCATCAAACATGACTGGCACATCTCTGCCGCCGACTGCGTCCTTCGTGATGTTTCGTGCCTGGTGCAAGTTTTTGCTCACTGCCGTCATCGCCGCACCATGGAGCTTCTTGCAAATGCCGTTGAACGTCTTGTGATGCATCGGGCTCGGAAGACCGAGAATAGCACAAAATCGTGAAAGTTGGTCGTGGCCTGCGCCTATAGCGCGTGCTGCCAGAACTGCCTTCACGTTTACAGCAAAGCTGTCACGCGAGCTGCCGCTGTCAAAACGAGCGCTCGTTCCTTGGTCCCCGGCCGAAGCAGTACGTCTCGACGTGTGCGTGAACGAAAGTGCAGATTCAGGGCAATCAGAATTTTGACAGCACAGTTCGAGGAATGCCGAAAGTCCTTTGCGCTTTCCAGCTGCCTCTCGCACGCCGAGCTTCCGTTCGCGGCAGGTTGGGCATTGTGCACCGCCACAAGTGCCGTCAGCGCATCGATTTCGCAAAGTAGCATGTTCGCAGTAGCAGCATCTACCGGTCTACGTTCACTCTCGAAGAATCCAATCTTCCTTTGGGATGCACTGACGAATTCCACGGCAGCGGCTATTTCACAACCACTGTCGCAGGGTTCGGTGACGGTGTTAGGCCTATCCGAAGTCGGAGCGTCGGGGCGTTGGTCGGGGGCGACATCGTCGTTCGCTGTCGCTTTGCGAAGCGTCCGACGCCGTTTCCCTCGATACTTGTGGCGAGTTCTGAATTTTCGATTATCTGAACTGCACTTCTTCGGGCTTGCCATGACGCAAAAATGCAGAGAAACGCAGAAAAACTCGATCACGACGTCCAAGGCTTCGCTCTTTTGCCGGAGAGATAGGAGGGGGAGGAGCGTGGAGCGCACCGCCGTCCAATGGCGGCCTCGCGCTGTGTGCCGCGATATTCAAAACGCGTGACGTACGCGTTGTTTTTCTCGTTTTTTGTTTATTCTGCGTGAAGGCACGAGACTGGCTACTAGTGGATTATGAAGGATACGGCCTTCGCAGCCTGCGTGCACGATTGCAAATGGCGGCCAACGCGTCGTTTTCGCGACAGGACGACGCGAACTTCGCCCTTTTTCGCGACTTTCGCGCATTTCTCGCGTCACCGCTGCCCACTTGGAAGCATTTTTTGATAATTTCTCGTGCGAATTTCAGATTGATATTTTCAGAAGTAATAGATTATAGTCCAAGGATGCCAATACAGCCAGATAAAAAAAAGCAAAAATTTTCCGGAAAACCGCGACTTTTCGACCCGCGTCTCCCCTTAAAAAAGCTCTTCTTCCTCAGGAGACACCTGCGTCTTGCGCCACCTGACATCAAGCTTTTACATACTCAGTTCTCGAATATGCTAACATTGCATACTTCCCGTACACTAAACCTAATATTGATAAACTAGAAGAGATCCAAAGGAAGGCCATAACATTTGTATTTAACAAATATAAAGCTTCAGACTCGCAGACTGAATTACTAAAAAAGGCAGGCCTTCTTATCCTTGAAAATATATCCAAACTAACTAGACTAAAATTCATGCATCAACTACTACACAACCAGGTAAACATTGACACCACTACATATATTTCGGTAACCTCATGTAGACTTACACGTAACACACACTCCATGACATTAACTGAATACACACACCATTCTAACTGCTTTAAATACTCTTACTTCCCGAGAGCCATAAAAGACTGGAATGAACTAGATCTATCAACTGCTAACACTCACTCAATAGACAGGTTCACTACGACATTCAAAGAACCTTTACTAACACAGAACGGTTGAGTCCAGTTATTACCTGATTTATTTGTGAACATAACTATTTTTATGTACGATCTTCTTTTCTGTTACTCCTTTTTTCTAGTGGAATGATGTTTATATTGTATAACTTGGAGTTAACTTATGCTTGCAAGTATGTATTTTTAACACATTGTTGCAGTACAACTTAGTGTAAGTTGTTTACTGTTTTTTATGTATTCTGCTTAACCCCCCCACCCCTTTGCCTGCCTTGATCTCGTTTGAGATTGGCAGTATTTCTAAATAAATAAAATACTCACATCCGTTGAGGACTTTGCGTACGTTAGGATCCCCTTCTCAAGGCAAAAGAAACGCTGCAAGAGAGCACCAAATGTTTTTGTTAAAAATAAACCTAAACAAGGGCTCAAAATGGACCGATTTACAAGCGGGACTAAAAGCAGAAGATGAATGCTCCATAAGTTAGTCCTAACTGACTATATTATACTGTCCCAATGATACAAAAAAATTAACATAAAAGCAAAACGTTTTGTGCACTAAAAAAATATTCACTTCGTCTTATAGTTTAAAGACAGGTAGGTACCAGGTGAAAAGAGGCACTGTGCGACTTGAAGGACACCCTATCTTACAGTAAGACACACTGGCCATAAAAATATTTCAGTCAAAATAAGAGCCAACCTTATCAGTAGCTACATGCCTTTTTGTTAGCTGAAAATTCAGCTGTGAAACTGCTGATAAGCAGAATAATGAAACGAATACACTAACAGTAGCTGTGTGCCCCTTCAGAGAGATGACACATCAGGGGGCTTCTTGAACCAAAAGAACAAAAATTTGTGTTTTTCAAGAAATTCATTCAAACTATATACTAGAGCTGGTGCTAAAGAAGCCTGAAACTTCATTTTTTAAAGTCTCGGTAAAGCTTTGAAATGATGACTGCTACCCAAAAGTATATCACCAAGTGTAATTTCAAATACAATGAACCACAATTTGACATATTAAAAGCACTATGTATCCTTTTACCATGGTACCTGAAGTTCCTTTGTTCCAAAGAAATGGAATGAAATCAATGGTATAGCACAGTGCCTACAGCGTTCTTTTCAATCAAGAGTTTGCCACTGCAGCAGAAATACCAACCTAAATAGTAATGCTAAATACTAATTTATTGGGCATGGGTAAATGAAAACATGACAACCAACTTTTTTGATTGCACTCAATTTCTATCAAACTTTCAAATGCAAGTCTTCTACTAGTACTTTGGCTCGTGTTTATAATTTTAATAAACATACAGTGTCACTTTAAAAAATCCAAGCTTCAAGAAATTAAGTCTTGTTTACTATCCTTTGAGAGTATTGTGTAAGAGCTTAGGTAATTATCAGTAACTGACATTGCAGATGTTGGTAGTTTAAATAGAGAATATTAGATAGAGAAGCAGCACAGCATATCAAACGGCCTCCAAATAAATTTTTTCCCCCAATAGTAGCCGTGGTTTAAATTTTCTATGGCTGCGAAGAAACTATGCGTGTTTTAAAATGTACCATGTGACTGGGTGCTTGTGTGCAGTGACATTAGCACACTCAAACATTCTCCCAAAGAGCAAATGCTGCTGCATGCAGACAGACGGTATGACCAGAGTGCAAGCAAAAATGACAGTGAGTGCACCCTCTCTTTTTTTTTTTTTTTACAAAGCCATATTCCAGTTTAAGCTCCTCACTCTCTACATTGTCTTCCAGCTGTAAGAAAGCCGTTCGTGTCAAGTGTAGAAATTCACCACTTATCTTGAATGCCCAACCTGTCTTATTGCTTCAACAAGCAAGCTACCTGGGGACAAATGGAAACCAAGATCACTTTATTTGATTTACTTCCCTTGCCCAAGGCCCATGGATGCCTTCAGTCAAAGTACAGCGATGATTATTCTTGAGCAGCACATTTGAGGGTGCTAGTATCTTTGCAAGCAAGCACCTGGTCATGTGGTGTTTTTATTGTGACAGCAATTATGTGGATACTCAAAGCACACTTTTGCCTTCGCCGTGATGTTGTATATAAAGTACAAATAGATAACATCACCCCACACTTCGTATATTCCATGTACGAGCGAAAGTGCGCAAAGGCTGCTGACGATGCAGAGCAATAGTGCAAGCCATCTTTCGTGGTGTGACAGGTGTGTGTAGATAGGAGCTAGATGTGGAGCTGCAGCCCTCCAGAAGGAAATGCATACTTTGACCGACCCCGCAGTCACATACCCCATATGGCTAGAGGAAATCGGCACACAGCTGATACTTTCCCTTTTCATGTTCTCTACTGAAGATCTTGCATCTAAAGCATACTTCGAAAGCTTTCTAAGTGATTACTGTTTATGAATTATCAAACTTCATTAAAAATAATTTGATTTGATCATACGACAGTAAACAAGACCAAGTTCGTTGCATTCTCATAATATGCACTTTGCATTCTCAAAGCTTGGCTCGAGTTAAAGACCCTGTAAAATGCAACAGCAAGAAGCCCACCGATCCAATTTTCATGCTTGGAGGAATTCCTACTGGTCAACGGCAGTGCTCTATGTGAACCTGCTCAATGTTCTCAGGCAACAGCCACTGGTGGCCACATCACCACATGATTAGAAAAGAAAAGAGATGTCTCAACTTTGCACTACTTGGGAACCCAATGTGCCATGCCTAACTACAAAATTAGTATTATATGTTCACAGCTCCACCTTCTAAACACAAAATGCACTCTCTTGCCAACCCCTGAAAGTGGCACGTCGGTGAGAAAGATGCACTAGTTCTTTGTTGTAAATGTTTACTGACTATGAGCACTTGTATCAGTTTTGGTGGATAAAGAGTCGCAGATTTCATGTGGAAGTGATCGAAAGATTCGTGAAAGACAGCTTGCAAGGAGTGCAACGATTTTCAGACTGTCAGAGTGCCAGCAGACAATCCCTTTCAAGCAGTCTAAATGCATGCTGCCAAACCATATTTCTAAACAATCAACACAGTAGTATATACTCACAAGCGAGCTTCTTGACACAAAAATGAACAATTTAAGCAATCAACTTGATGATTGCACCCAGAATCATGCCTGTGGGCATGTTGATTGCTAGAATAACATGCCTGAGAGTGTTTCATCTTGAATGCCACAAATGCTAGAGGTCCGACAGGCACATGCATATTAAATGACAGATTACATGAAAACACAAACTCACTAAAGAGATCATCATTTAGAATACTAGCTTGGTCAAAATGTTTCTCACCAATCCTCTATTTGTATTCATATTTGTTTAAAAAGCCTATCAGAACAACCAGTACGAAGCATTCTTAATTTTTATGAAAGGCAATTGTATCAGCAAATTATCGGTCAACATTCACGTTAAGGAACGCTCTTGCACCTGTCAGAATCACACTATGTATTCGATATGCTGAGGTTGCATGTTCTGCTTTGTTAGTCAATCCTCCCAAAGGCACACATGTATTGCTCGACTTTTTATTCTAGAAATCAGTTTGCCAGCCAGTACTATGCGAGTCCCTTCTTTTAGCCTTCCACCAATTTCAAGCAATCCCAATTCAAACGCATGTGACATTCAGTAATGCTCCCATTTTACACAAGCGACAAACCAAACTGAATGAATTTTTTTTTAATTTGAAAAGAAAGAGTCAAGTTGTAAGAACTACTAGGAGCAATACATCTTGCATTTATTCGAGCCTGGAATTATAACAAATAAAGACAGAAACACACGATGAAAGAAACTTCTGACGCATCTCATCATTTGCAAGCTTATGATACTACAAAAAGACAAGCGTGTATGAAAAGAGGCCCAAATTAACACCACTGCTACATCACTTCCCTCGTACTATTCAGATAACATTGGCATCCTTGATTGATTGATATGTGGGGTTTAACGTCCCAAAACCATCATATGATTATGAGAGACGTCGTAGTGGAGGGCTCCGGAAATTTCGACCACCTGGGGTTCTTTAACGTGCACCCAGATCTGAGCACACGGGCCTACAACATTTCCACCTCCATCGGAAATGCAGCCACCGCAGCCGGGATTCGAACCCGCGACCTGTGGGTCAGCAGCCGAGTACCTTAGCCACTAGAGCACCCCGGCGGGGCAAGACTGGCATCCTTAATGCACACATTATACATGAATTATTTTTATTAGAGGTATGTCACGTGTCGCTTCTATAATTGACACCAGTTTCTCTTAGCAAAAAACAAAAACAAAGCTGCAAATGTTGAACATGGTGACGATGGTCTATTCAGATAACATTGGCATCCTTAATGCACAGATTATACATGAATTATTTTTATTAGAGGTATGTCACGTGCCGCTTCTATAACTGGCATCAGTTCCTCTTAGCAAAAAACAAAAACAAAGCTGCAAATGTTGAACATGGTGACGATGGTCAGACCCTAGTTTTCCCCAGCTATAGCACTGACAGTGTTGCCACCTCAGTAGCTATGTAGACACAGCTTCTTGGTAGTAGCTGCCAATGGTGGTGCAAGCAGATGTGCCCAGACCAACCACAGTGAAATGATCCACTACATGTTAGGTTGCAAATCAATTCGACAGAAGGAATCACCAGCACAAACAGATTAATGCTGGCATAGTCGAATATTAAATTAACGGTCTAGTAGACAACCCCAAGGTGCAAATATTGTAATGAGGAGAAATATGCACACTTTTGCTAAGTGAACATGCTGCGGCAAGAATTTTGCGAATACGTGCTATAAGAAGGAAGTTACAGGGATTACAACATCCGTTTCAGCTACAGTTAAATCTCAATATAACCAAATTGACAAATTCCTGGAAAATTTCGTAACAGAGAGGATTTGGTTATATGCAGGTTCGGTACGAAAATTCGTAAATTAAAATCACAAATTAAACAAAAGGAGGACTGAAGGCAGAGCTAACCCAAAACACTTAATTTACAATAAAAAACTGCATTACTATCGCAATAGCAATTATATACACACTCTCGGTGGGTTTTTACTGTCGTGGCCATGTAACAAGTGCAAATTGATAACATGCCCTCGCGCTTTGTAACTTTCACGAGCGGGTAAAAGCGCACGAGCCCTGCTGAAGCAGAGATAAAATGAGTTGGCCCATCCCTATCGCCTGGAAATTGTATAACATCACCCGCATGCTAGAGCTGCTGCCGAATGTTCATACAGGAAGTAAACCACCCATCTTGAACGAGCATAAAACAACGCGGGGAGGGGAGGTAATCGCTCGAGCAGCAATAATGAACGATTTCAAGGGCGATCGCGATCGCTGGCGCACTTGCTATCTCGGCGAGTATCAGTGCAGTTTCAAAACGAAAGGACTGAGTGAAAGGAGCACTTATCCCTGGAGCGGCCGTATTTGCTCATACCAGCGTTTTGTAGGTATTCCCCGATATCGGATCCAAAAGAGATGGCTGCCAGCCTTACGTCTTTTTAACATTACTGTTTTGCTATCGCATTCATTGCATTGCATTCAATGCGTCATCGTGTTGGCAGAACTAATTGGCTAATCGCGAAAGCTACCAGCCTGCGAACTCGCGGCACAAGATGGAAACGCGTGACTAGTCGACCTCTGAAGATCCGTCGTCCCCGTCCGCGGTCTTGGAGAGTTTCCATCAGCGCCTAATTTGACATCCGCTCAGTAGTGACGACACGGTTGTCCAAAATTTTAAAAAATCACAGTTTCACCGCAAGGGTGAAGCAATGAATGCGATAGCAACAACTTGGAATGTAACGCTGAGAACGGCAAGCAGATCGAAATGTGCAGCGCGTTGCTCACGCACAAATGACACATGAGAACAACATACACAGGACGTGATGGAACTAACAACGTTTGCCGCTCGACACTTAATGCGCTGTTTAAACAAAAACGAGGCACGAAACCAAATCACAGGTACACATATGAGTGCGAACTAAGAAGTGCTCCAGTTGTTACTTCAGTGTGTTTGAAAAGCGCACTCTTTTTGCGAACGGCGCCTGTCCAGCGAGCAAAGTGATCTTCGTGCGCCCGGCAACTAAACTCACATAGTTTCCCGGTCAAAGTCGAAGGCACCTGATTCTCCCCGCCGAAGGATAAGCGCGGGTGCACAAGCATCTATCCCCCCCCCCTATCCCATTTGCGGGGCAAAATACACGTGGGAGATAAGCGCAGTCGGTGACTAGTTGGGCGTGACTAGCTGGGAGCGCGGGTGGCTTTTTTTTCTCCCTTTCCTGAGTTTTCATATATAAATAGATATGTGAATAACAGCGGCGGAGGCAAAAAATCCAGCCGAGACTGTCCATATACATAACTGCTATCGCAATAAAGAAAAAGCATACTGAACGTTGTCGGGGGCCACACCATGTACACGCAGTGAAACTATGCACGCCAGCGTCGAAAACGCAGAGCGAATGACACGGACACAGAGACCGTGGAAAACTAATCAGTAAAGCGCCCTCCATATGCCGCGTGGCCCCATATATGTGACGCTAAATAAATGTGTGGCACTTTCAACGTGCAAAAGTAGTTTTTTTTTATGTTCGTTTGAAGTGGAGGGGGGGCACACCCGCGCGAGCAAGCGCGGCGGCGAGAAAGGCGGCAAAGCTAGCTCACTAGGTTCAGGCCTGCCAGACGCGGCCCACATGCCCGCCGCCGCCCCTTCGCGCTTCGGCAAGGCAGCTGCGGAAAATGCAAGCTCATACCAAAATGCCAAAATGCGGAGCGAAATTCCTCGATTGTCTGTGGGCAAAATTCATTATATCAAGGTTGTCTCCCACTGTTACTTTGTTACATAAAGGTCACAAATACATTTGCTTCTATGGAGCGACGGCGGGGAATAAAAAAAAACTTTGTTATAACAGGGAATTTATTATATAGAGGTTCGTTATAAGCAGGTTTAACTTTAGTTTCAAGTTTCTGGGCAACCTCACCACCCTTCTCTGCCATAGAGAGGGGAAGGCTTAGCCCATCGTTGCGAATCCAGCAACTTCCTCAACATGACACGATACATCACCCGTTCGCAGCCAACGTCTGAGCAAAGCTTCCTCCACATGAGCATGTGTCATATTGGCATGGAGAGAAGCGCGGTACGAAGAGCGCCCTTACCCTAGCAGTAAAGTAGCAAGACTCCTTTTTATCTCGGAGGCTTTCGCTCTTGCGTTAACTATTTTCCCAGTGGTGTTAAGCTCAACAAAACAGCAGAGGGCAGCACAGGAAAACTAAAATGCAGACTGCACAGCCGAAACTGCACCACTGCAGGGCCAAGAGGCCATTTCTTAGGGCAAAAGACCAATCGACGAGCTCGGTGGTTCATCAAGTTGCCCACAGGCATGCTTGCGTGACTGCGCGTACAAGGGGGATCGGTCAGCCATGGGAATCGTTTTTCGAAATGGAGGGTCTGTGCAGCACTGTAATATTCCGAAAATGTGATTGCCGTGGTCTACTGTACGAATTGATGAGCTTGTTTGGGGGGGTTAAAAAAAGTTGCGAGCCTGTTTACTGGCCTTTTAAGGAAGCAATTTAACTAGAACAGATTTTGTCAAAGCCTACCATGCGTTCATCTGGTAGCATGGGCATCAGCAGGGTGGTGCAAAAGGGACACTTCCCCCCCCCCCCCCCCCGAAGCCACACCAAGCCCAAGCTACACTAGTTTCTCTCCCTCCCCCAGCCACAATGTAACAAGGGTTTGCACCCCCCCCCCCTCAAGAAAAAATCCTGCATATGACCATGTCTTGTAGGTATGCTACAATAATGCTTTCTTAAAGAGACACTAAAGAGAAACATTAAATCAGTTAGGTCTGATAAAATTTTTTTTGAGAACTGCAATAACATTATTTCCCAACTATAGGTTCATTATTACACAAAAATTGGTCCAAATTCCTTTCTTGAATTTTGTCTCAAAACTTGAGCATCCAAATCTTACAATGTTGCCAATTTCAATACTTCTTTTTTTTCTCTCATATATGTTATGTCTCTGGCTCCCTTGGAAAGCAACATGTAATTCATTTTTACTTAGCGCAGGAACTTCAAGACTGTTACCACATGTATATTTTTTTGTGAATTTTCTAACCTACTAAGCACCTTCTTGCAGCATTATTTGTGTACTTTTCATAACACTAAATAAAAGTGAAGTTATTTTTCTCTTAAGTGTCATTGTAATGTTACCTCTGCAAAGATAAAATACTACCTTGTGCCATCCTTTAAGAGGCCACTTGCGGCGCTTAAGCAGGTAGCCCTCAAATTTTTTCGGCTTGTCATCACAGCGCTGGCCTGTGCGCAGCCCCTGCATAATTTCCCAGTCAGCTGCTCTGCGACGCCGATTCGAAGCAGTGGCTGATGCTTGCGCATCCGACCGAGCAGCTGCTACATCAGGGGCAGCTCGGCTGCCTGGCTCACTTTGTTGAGATGCTGGGCTGCTCCGGCCAGGGCTGGCATCCTAGAACACACCAATGAAGAAAAGTTAAGCTTCACTGTACAATAACCAATTTCTATGAAGAAGAGTGCATACAATGTCCGAAAATCTAATTTATGCTTTTGTCAGATTCAATTCCTCAACTGCGTATTTCTGCATGAAAACAAATTTTCTACAGGTACTACATTCTATCTCACCAACTCTAAAGAAGAAGCTGCAGCTGTTTTCAATCAATGAGATGAGTTATCTAACTGCGTGGTTCAAAAAAAAGGAACACGCAACTCTCCTGGAGTGTGCCGCTAATCCTTCTGCAAATCTTCCTTTCATCCAGCACCGCCTAAAGATCCTTTAGTGATGAACAATGATAGATGAGCCCCTCTGCTTTACTTTTTTTTTTTTTGCTAGCAGATGAAAACCACAGCTTTGCTGCATTGCACTGACTAAGGCAAAAACTCAAGATCGACCTCCCACTAAGCGGGCAACTAGGAATAAATCCAGGCAATTACTTCCATAACAGGACACAATAAGAACACAGTACATGTAAGCGCATCTTTTAGTGCCACCTCTGCGAGCAACCCAAAAGCTACTTGACAATGTGTGAATGAGAAGACAGCTTGAATACGTACAGAGTCGGAATTGTTATTGGCAATGGTGGTGGTCGTGGTGGTGGTAGTGGCGGCTGCGGCCATTTCTGCTTGAAGTTCTTCCATGTTGGCACTTTTTCAGAGGGGCCAGAGAGTTGAGGAGTGTGCAAATGGCTGGTGTGGCTCACTGACTACCAGGCCAAGCACTCGGCACATTGCTGCACCCTGCAGCTCCCACTAGTGGCTGACACCCCTCCCTGCATAGAACAACAACAGACAAGAAATGGCTGCATCAGACAGGTGAAGTACACTACTTCAATCCATCCACTATTGCAAAAAATGGAAAAGAGGTCTCATGAGCAAGAGCAACAATGACAGGAAAAAAGAAATAAAGACAAAAAAAAAGCTATTTAAAATGTACTGTGGCATTATAGAAGATACAACGCAAGTAGACAGATTACACCCTTAACCACAAATTTGATACCAAGCAAGTCCAAGAGTTTCTGAAAACAACATGCTTCAGATGCACTAGTGACATTAACTAGCCATGTCCACAACATAAATATAAATCCCACTTTTCAGTCATTGCCTCAACGGCATTCAACATCAGCCGATCAAGGTGAAAATGTACGCTCCATCAAACGAGAAAAGTAAAGGTCAGCTGGCCTATATTTGCCACATTGTATACATATTTCTCACTTAAATCAATGCAGGGGCCCCAGCATTGACATAATATATTCGGGTAAACTAACTGCCAGTTCTTAAAAGGTTATGAGCTATGTGCAGTGTAGAAAAGGACGTGCCCCCTCCACCGCCATGGTCGTGAATGACACAGGCTAACACTCCTAAGATTAGATCTCTTATAAAATCTCAAGTATAGCATAGGTATAAATGCCACCATCACTTAATTCACAAAATAGCAAGCATAAAGCAGCGGGCGCGGGTTGGATTCCCACCAGCACTGAGTAGGCTTTTTATCCACTTTTCTTTCCCTTCATTGTTTCTATAGTTATTTAGGTAAAACTTTTTATTCCAAGTTTTCCTTGCCCTCATAAGATTGTGACTAACAAAAATTGCGTCCCTTGTCTCTCCTTGTCGATTAACACCTTTGTACACCCTGTGTATAAGGGTTGATTGATATGTGGGATTCAACGTCCCAAAACCACCATATCATTATGAGAGATGCCGTAGTGGAGGGCTCCTGAAATTTAGACCACATGGGTTTCTTTGACGTGCCCCAATATCTTAGCACATGGGCCTACAGCATTTTCGCCTCCATCGGAAATGCACCTGCCGCAGTCGGGATTCGATCACGCGACCTGCGGATCAGCAGTCGAGTACCTTAGCCACTAGATGACTATGGCGGGGCCATGTAAAAGGGTGTTGGATCCTCTGTTGGGTGATGTGTCTTTAGTCCCAACATCCTTTTGTTTTTTTGTACCACAAAACTATATAACAATTTTTGAATTCTTTTTCTGTGCATTTGTCTGATTTATTCTAGGCACACAGTCATTGAGAATGTTGTCACAAAACTTCTCAGAATGACTGCTTTACTGATGTAATTCTTTGCCCCCGTGTGCTGAATTCTCTCACAAGGGCAATTTACAAATCAAATATTTAATATTTCTGTATTTCTGCACACTTTGCCTAGCTCTATTCTTTTAGGTTCACTCAAACACCTTTATAATGAAGTGCCCAGTACATTCAACATACTTCACTATACAGGTTAATTTGGTATATAAGGATACCACTGTAACACTGTCAATGTAACTGCATTCAGATACGTATTTCTGTCAGGGTGTGCTGTGCTAGTACCATGACAAGACGGTTCTTCCTGGCAACGTTAAAACTATGACCATTGTGATAAAAACACTACCAATGTCCCATGCAATAACAGTACTTAAAGAGACACTGTGGAAGGAAAGTCTGAATTAAAGTGTGACCTCGTTCTCCTTTTTTTTAAAGTACATCCAAAGCGCAATACACAAAAACCTTATGTAACCTTATTGGAATGCGTCAGCCATTGCTAGCAATAAAACAGTAACCTGGCAGCTCAACCTTTGCTTGTAAGAGTCGAGACTAGCAATCTTGTTGTTTCATGTTGCGGCCCCAAAAGCTGAGTATGGCAAGGAATTTGGAAGTCATAATTCATAAGGCGATGACCAGAAAGGCAAGCTTGCTTTGAATATGATTTTTTATAGTACATTTCTTTTTATTTCTCAAATTAGCATAAAGATTATATAAACAAATTCAATTTCATGTTATGTTAATTAACATGAACAACCTTCATTTGCATTTTACAACACTACAAGTGATGCTCACTGTTGGGCATCTATAAAAAATTTATCATCAGTCAGGTATGATGGCGAGTTAGCTCACAAATTTACAGCAATATTTGACCCCAATGTTTTTGTCACCCAAGAAGCCTATCCGTAATGTCTGCTGAATGCTGACAATTTGAAAAAGCTTCTAAAGTGGTCATAAATGCTATTAACAATAATGTTTTAAGTAGCCGGTACAATAACATACTATTGTAATAAAGGAATTCTACACAGAATTTTATGAAAGTTTTTTCATTAAGTGCTAAATTTTTTTTTTCCTTTCTTGGCTTTATCAAACTAAAATAATCTTGAATATCTTCAGCCAAATTACCAATTACTCCCCCTCCCCCACAGTGAGCACATAATTCAATGTAAGAAATTCAAGGTGTGTACGGAACCTCAAGTCCGTCATGCAAATACAACATGGCATCCCCCGTCCTTAAGTATGCCCCTGCATTTTCATTGTTATTAAAGTGGCCACTTCTCTCAATGGTATCGAGGTTTCCCTACATTATATGTCTATTTAAAAAATTTTTTTGAGTAGCAAGGTTAACACAATGCCCTAACCTTGTGAAAAAAAAATTGTGAAAAAAAAAAAGGCTATAGCATGAACAAGAGGCAAACATAAGTGACAATGTATATATGCTTTTTAATTCTTGCTGCTGTTTGTATCGGAAACAATAAACTCATAATAAACAGAATTCACTTACATAAACTTTCAGATTTTTCGGCCTTGGCACAGGTTATTGTCTAAGTGTCTCGTTCATTCCAAACAATTGCCACAATCTTTAAAAGCAACACAGAAGTAATACAACTGGTTTATCTATGATTATAGTTATACATTTATTTTATGTCCCCAAGTAGTGCAGTAAGTACTATTTATAAGAGACAATGTATTGAAATTCTCCACATTTCAATGGAACACTTGGAATTTAAAACACATTGTCACAGTACAGAGGCACCAATGCTTTCCAACCACATCAAACCATGGGTGCTCCTGCCATGAAATAGTATGAAAAGTTGGGCAAGTTGGATTGAGGACATTCTTGGAAGCATTTCCGCATGCACACAGAAGACGGGAAAACGAAAGTCGAGAAGACAAACAGGTGTGAACTCACAACTCAGTTTATTGAAAGAAGTACACAAAAGATATATCCCAGGGTAGCTCAAGAGTGCATGTGCATAAAAACAAGCAAGAAAAAAAGAAAAACAAACGATAACACACCATAGGAGTAATTTTTTTACATAAGTGGTATCTAAAACTATCAGCAGAATGTGAAAATCAAGTATGGCTCAAAAAGGTGAACTCCTTGTGAGTTAGTACAACCTGGGATATATATTTCGTGAACTTCTTTCAATAAACTGAGTTGTGAGTTCGTGCCTGTTTGTCTTCTCGAGAGCATTTCGATTTCCCGTCTTCTGTGTGCACGCCGAAACGTTTCCAAGAATGCTGCCATGAAGCTTAATATTATAGCATGAATCAAACACTGAAGTTCATCCCGAACAAATGTACGGTTTTAAATTTACCACCATTTAAAAATTGTAGGCAATGGGAAAAAAATATTTTGCCAGTCTGCCTAAGGTCTGGTTCAACTGGTTTATTGGGCACTATTTGGTAACAAAGTGAGGAGTTTGGCGCGTCGATAAATACTTGTCACGGGTACAGCATGCCCACACATAACAGAGGAACAAACAGCTGCTCTGACTGACAAGTGAAGTGCTCATTTGAAAGGAATAGCTATGTATACCTAGAAAAAAGCTGAGTGTCATCATGAATTAGATATATGCAGCCGTTCCCTCCCAATAAGTACTCAGTTGTCAGACCTAGCTGCTGTTTTCCCCAATGTCTTTACGTGCAGTTCCCCTTACATTATATGGTACAATGAGGACCAAATCATAAAACAACACGTATCTGAAATTAAACAAGCATTGTACTGCACAAGAGAAAAATCATAGCTTGATAGTGACACACAAATACATCGGAAAATAGCATAAGATTTCCATGCAAACTAAGTGGACTAAACCCCACTCTACTATCAGGCTTTTTAAAAAAATTATCTTCGAAATGCAACTGCACAAATTTCCGCAGCAAAACTACATTACGGAACGAAAGACCTGAATTACATTTCTTATTCGGGGACGCCTGCAGCGGCACTAAAGATAATTCCAACAGGCTCCATTAAATTTCTCTCCCGCGCAACATTTCACAGTGACATCTGAAAAGCATACGAGAAAAGGAAACCTTTCAATCTGTCTCGCGTTACGGCTACAATATCCACCTGGCAAATGTTGGTCGTCGGCAGCCGATGAATGCTTGCGGACAACCACTAAACAATAGTACACTCCTTTGACACGTCACTCGGGATGATTGAAAGACGAAGTCGGCGTTCGTTGTACAACGGGCAGTATTGTTCCGACGCGGTGCGAGTACTCGCGACTGCATCCAGGGTCCCTATGGAGGAATAAGGTGTAGCCTTCCATTGTTATAGGAGCACATGTTTTTAAATCGCTCACATATTTATTTGTCATTTTTAATTAACCACTTCCTAGGCGAATAAAGCAACGCAGTGCACAGACAGCCAGGCACAGACAAAATTGAAACTAATATAACCCACACTAGCATCGTAGTCGCGCTTATTGCGCGACTTCGTAACAACGTTACTTTTCCACAGGTGTGTTCAAGGTTACCGGCAGCAGTACGTGTTCAGGGAAACTCGGCGCGGTACTCTTACTCACTCGACAGCACATAATGCAATCGCGGCTCCGCATATATAGAAAAAAAAATAGGTATATTTCCGATAAGCGTCAGCTACTTAAAGGCGGCGAACGCAAAGCAGCCCGTGCAGAACAAACGTCAAAGGAACACCATAAATAGTCACCATCCATGTAGTCAATGTGCATTTCATTTCCCCGTACCGAATGTACCACCGAAGAAT